TGTTGGACTGCTCTCAGTGTAGATTTTATACTGTACGATGTTGACACGTAGTGTATTGTAGATCACTATTAGCCGATGTCGTCTGTGCTCCATAGGATCATTAGGTGCAGAGTACTCATGAATGTCCAGTGCCAGTATTTGGACCTGGATTTTTCTCTTGTTTGGTTAGTGGTGTGAGTGTTCTAGCCTGTTAGACTATGCTGGATACTAAATAGTGATCGTTCGGTTTCATCACATGATGGGCTATTGGAAATCTGGTTCGAGTAGGTGATGTGTGCCTTGAAGGCTCTAGGGGTGGAGTTCATAGTTGCGGCATACGAAGCTGATGCTCAGCTCGGATACATGTATTCCGCTGGTAATGGATTTGATCGTCGGAAGTGAGCCTGTTATGCGCCTCTTTCCATCATCAGGTCTGGTCGATGCCGTGATATCCGAGGATAGCGATGTACTCCCGTAAGTGTTGCGGACCGTTGTACGCTTTGCTGTCCAAGTGTTGTTTAGGTACGGCTGCAAGGTGATGATTGCGAAGTTGGACCAGGCTGGAGACTGCCAGGTCGTCGACATATCTTGGGCTTTGAAAGGCGGTAGCAAACTCAAGGTGTGCGATCGTTTCTCCTGCTCTGCGATAAACTCGATTCTAGGAAAAGTCGAACGAGCAAGAGGACCAGCGGCTATCCTTTAGAGAACTTCGCAACAAGTACGGCGCTGATTTAGCTAATTTACGTGACTGGACTAAAGAGATGTTCATTGATGCCTGTGTGAGCGGGGACGGTCCCCATCTAGACACATCGATACCTGATCCAGTAGGTTCTCGCTGGATGTGACTACTCTCATGCATGCAATTTGAGCGGGATGGGAATTAAGACTGCAATGAAGCTGGTTAATAAATATAGAGACTGGCAACGGACTCTAAGAGCTCTGAAGATTGAGGACAAGTTCAGGAAGCAACTCGCCTATGAAAAGTGTGCCATTGGTTTCCCCGCGTGGGAAAAGGAGGAGAACCGCGCCGCTTCGTTTGAAGGTTTGAGACGTTCCGGAAGAACTTCGAGTTGGCTCGAGCCGTTTTCTTCTTCCATCGAGTATTCGATCCGAGAACGAAGAGGTGCATAACAATGACGGAGGATACAAGGTGCGAGAGAATATCCAGTGCCAGGATTTGAACCTGGATCTTTTGCAAGTTTTATGAGAGGTGCGGTTGTCTTAACCTGTAACACTAGATCGGACGTATTATTATCGATCAATGGAGATAATATCTCCTTCGACTTTGTGTCCTACGTAGCTGTAAGTGTCGATCTCAGTTCTCTACTCACGGA